CTGACTATAATCTAACTCATTTTATGATTTATTTGCAACTTTAAACTACCCGTACAAACAGACAGACAGAAGCGATTTGGTCCCTTCCTGCTTTTTCCTCATATTAGGGCTTGCTTTGGCTTGCCCACATAATGCTCAGCTTGGCTTGCTTGTCTTGCCCATTTAATCTTTAAATATATAATTTATCAAATAAAACAACTAAACAGATGAGGAACATGCATGTAGTTCAATCAACTAATTTGATGGACAATATTTATTTCTAATGTAAGAAGCAGTAGATTTTTCTTCTATTGTATCCAGTGCTGTAGCTAATGATGACCAACTGGGACCTCCTTTCTCTCTCACTTTATCTTCTCCTCTTAACCAGGCAGACATACACTCATGGAAACACTCCTCTGTCTTTCCTCTATAGTCAGTGTCTATATCCACTAGTCTACGATCATGTAATCCTAACTGTAGACCTAGTCTGTGCCATACAGAACGGGGCAATTGTTGATTGTATGTTAATTCTTTAATGACATCAGCAAGATCTATAAAAATAATAATTTATATACACACTGTGCAGTCTATACTCTCATACCTAGCTTTGTTGTAGTCAATGGTGTGTTGAATTCTTCCTTTATTTCAATCACTTCCTATACAATAATATAATGATATTTGTCATTAAAGGTGAGTTTATACAGATATACAAATATTATATTATTAGTAGGACTAGGCAAATTATGCTAGCGTAATTTGGAGCATAATAGGGCAAATTATTATGGTGGCATAATGGGTCAAAAATTGCTGGCTCTATACTCCTTACCACATGATTTCAATTCAATATGGCAGGTGGTGCAAGTACTAGTACAACAACCCAACTGCTTAATACCCACCTACTCAAGCATGGCAACTTACGCAAGTGTGGTGAATCCAATGACTTAGGCTGTTGCTGCTCTATTTTCCATGCAGTGACTCTAAAAGTCACTGGAAAATTTTTTAAAATTCTAGCATTATTACAATAATTACAATTGTAACAGATGCATGTACATGTAACTTGATAGTTGATATTTGAGTAAAGCTTAAAATAATTATTCAAAGCATAGTAGAGTGGAATTTGGGGCTGCGCCTAAAAGCATGCATAATTGAATTAAAGCATAATTTGTCTAGCCCTAATATAGTAGTAAAAGCAGCAAAATGACAACCCACAATTATGCATGAGTAGTACTTGCCATGATCAAACAGTTTGTGTGTGTTTTAATTCTTACCTTAATATCACGTCCTCCTAATAGTGACAGATTACTAATATCTGATAACGATTCATTAGAAAGGATCTTCTTTAATTCTTTATGTCCTTTATCACTCACAAGAAATGGTCTTCCTTCCTTAATTGCTAAGAGTACAGCTTTTACACTATACACTGTCCTTTCTCTTGGTGTATTCACAGGATAGGCTAGTTCTTTAGGATCAATAACTAATTCTTTTACCTCTAGACTGGGACAGGATTCTTTGTAAACACTCATTACCTCTCCTATCACATTTCTTCTTAAAGACACCATATTGTCACTGTAACCTTCCTCACAGGACATCATTACTAGTACACACTGGCTCTCATCCACAATCTCTACCAGTGATCCTACACCATGACCATTAAACCAATGAAGACCATTCTTCCAAAATGTACAGTAGCGATTTAACTTGTCATCTTCTTTAGGTAGAGCCATTTTGTAAGCAAGACGTAACAAGAGAATGTGGAAGCATCGAGGAGGAAAGAAATCATGTTCTCTAGTACACTGTAGACACCAACCAAATTGGTACACTTGACTAGTCATCTCATCAGGTCTA